TCTCCTTGTCTCGACACGTTGGACCTATTCAACACCAAAACAAAAGAGAAAACGCGCAAAAATACAAAAACACTATACAATAACAAAAATACACAAAACACGATAAAATGGACTGGTCGAGCCTAAAAACGGATCTAAGAACCACAAAATAAAACACATAAAACACAAGAAAATAAGGACAAAAACACAACAAACAATTTTCTTCTTTAATTATTCCAGATTAAGTTGTTCATTGAATTCGACTCTTGATTCTCTATTAATCGTAAGTTTTTCTTTTCAATTAATCCTTGAATATGAATGCTTGGGTTCTTGAGATGGATCGTGTTGAATTTCATAATGAGTAACTAATTCATTCGCTAGGGATAGGGGATGATGATGAAGTTTAGATTTTGATTGTGATTATCATTCTTGTTGATTGTTGAATTTATGGGAGTTGTGCTTAACTAGGGTTTATAATTCTCATGCATTGAATGTTGATTATTGTCGAAGAGTGACACTTCGATTTGCAATTGATTCCAATCTATTTAGGCTCGCATTAAATATACTTGTTCGGAAACGTATTGTCTATGTGTTGCGTGATTTGTTTGATTTACGTCTAAGTTACCCTCTTGTTACGATGAGTTATTGAGGGCCAATTTCTAGACGTTAGGTTGTTCAATTCACTTAACCGAATGATCTTAGCTTGATATTTGCATTGATTAGAAAATCATCATCCCCGACTCCTTAGCTTCTTATCATTATTTGTTCTTCGTCTTTGCTTTTTGATTCCATTTTGCATTGTTTGAGTTTTCCTTCGTAGTTGGCAATTTAATCAACCATCTTGATTAGAGTGTTTAGGATTTATTTTTCGTTTATGTGTTATAAACACCACTTCTAAGTTCTGAATCGTCTTCCTTGAGAGATCGACTCGGGGAACTAATCTTTTGATTCGGTTCTCGGTAAAACTAAAAATAATTTGCTACAACAAATTTGGCGTCGTTGTCGGGGAAGGCAAGTAGGATATTTGGTTTTGGTGTTGATCTCATTATCCGTATTTCTCTTGCTCTTGTGATATTTGCTTAATTTTAGTGTTTCTCTTGATTTCTTATTTTCCGTTTCTCTTGTTTTTTTTTTGGGATTTGTGTAAATATCGTGTATTGTTAGTTGCATTTTTGTTTTCTTTGGTCTCGTGTGCCTTGGTTGTTTTGTTTTTCTTGTGCGAGGTGTTTCGGTTGAGGAGCTCCGATGGACCCGTACGGCCATTCTTATGTCGGAAGCTCGTCTCGTGGATACCCCGACAACTACCAAGAGAAGATGTACTCTTATGGAGGGCCACCATATCCGTGTCCGAGCTATTCAAATCCCTATTTCTATGAAGGATACTCTTCATTCCAAGAGTATGGTCCGAGCCATTCTTACCCAACATCTCAAGGCGATTATGATTATTACACTCCAACTCACTACGAGACGCCTCATTACCAACCTTCATCTACCGACTATCACAAAGTGGTTTTGATGAGCACTCGAGAGATACTTGCGAGCCTCCTATCGATCATAGATGAGTTTCATAATTGGAAGATCATCCCCATTCCATTTGATCTTCAAGCTAAACTTACAAAGTTCGACTCAACCGTTATTGCTTTCCTCGACTTGGACACATCTCATATTTCGCTTGGTAGATATGAGTATCTATCGGCAAATGTTTGTCGAGAAAGAGCACGACTGGAGGAGAATTTCGATATATGGTGGATAAGTTTGCTTCTTTCAAAGACATGGGCCTCACTCTCGTTTATGATGGAACACAATCTCTCGACGTGAGTGTGGACATCAATGATTTGTATGTTAGAAGAATCCCTTCTTATGACTATACGGGATTTCAATCCGTGTTAGATACGTCAACCCAACCTTTCGGTGATTGTGCGTTGAGTTCGATTGCTATTGATGAGAGCGAGTGTATGGACTCAGAGGCCGATACCGTGCATGGTATAGGGGATAATTCACTTGAGGATCGCTTGTGCCGAGTAGTGTTGAAAGAGCTCGGGATGATGATTGTGAGGAGGAGGTAGTTCATGGTGTCAAGGATGAGGTCGAGGAGGATGACGAGTCATTATGTGAGGCCATTGACCCGAAGTGTGCATTAATGAATGACCCGACTCATGATGTTAAGTACGAAGTGGTTCTCATGTCCTTTGGGTGGTCATTTCGTGTTATCGAGGATGGTGAACATTTGGAGAAGTTTAGTGCATACATGCACATGCTTCCGACTCCCAAAGTTATTGAGCACACATCAGAGATGGCATTGGTGATGACCGGGATGGATTCGACATGCTCCACAGACATGTTCATAATTCCGGAGGTCGAATATGGGGCCTTGGTACGTAAAGAAATATCTTTTCTCTTGATGGGTGTTGATATCCGTGCTCGGTTTTACAAGAATACGGCCACGACAGTCGACTTTGCTTGCCTCTATTCCTTGCTACCAACGGGACTACTGGTGGAGAATACGAAGGCGTGGCATGATCGACACTTTTTCTTGGACCCCGGTTAATTTTGGTTCAGGTTTTGTCAAGCTAATGACGTTAAACAAGCGCTTCTTGGGAGGCAACCCAAGTGATTTATCGCTTTCTTAGATATTTTTCTTTACGCTTTTAGTTTTATCTTTAATTAATGGGAGTTTTGGAGTTCTATGTTTTTCTGATTGGCGGGTATGAGTTCGCGAGGCTAAGCATAGGCGAGCAGCTTGCACGTGGATGCTTATTCCCCTCGAGGCGTTTGGTTTGCACACCTTTTTTTTCATCCTTCTGAGTTTGCTTTCTCATTTTGTCATTTCTTTTGAGTTTGTGTTTTTGTGTTGGTTGTTGGTATTGGTTCATTATATGAAATTGCTATGTCCTATTATTTGGATTTTGCATGCTTATGTGGTGGACCGGTCTAGTGTAGGTTTTTATGTGTTTTGTGAGCATGGACTTTGGAAATTTTAAGATTAGTTAACACTTGTTTGATGAATTCGACGAGCTGTGATGTTGGCCATATGCAGCATAGCATGACGAAATGCTTGGTCGATTGCTTTGATTGGCATTCATATATCTACCTAGTGAGGTTTGAGCCTTATTTGTTTCTTGAGATACATTGGTCGTGCTCTTGTTTAATTAGAATTTGCCCTGAGTCTGCATTGAAATAAATTGATTAGAATTGTGAACTGTGTATATGATTAAGGCGTTTATTATATTATATCATTTTCTTTCTCTACAAATTATTCTCTAGCCTCCCCTTTTGAGCCTTATTTATTTTTTGTTGATAACCTCGTGATGATGACGTTGTTGGAGTTGGGGGTTATCAATTGGAGGGGATGTTACTGGAGTTGTTTGTTGGAGTTGAGTTTATGTTCTTTATCAAAAAAAAAATCAAAAGAAAAAAAAAGAAAAAAAAATGTATCCGAATGGATTCTAAAATGTCCAATAAGGTTTACACAAAAAAAAGAAAAAAAAAAGAAATAAGATGGGTGAAACGTGTGTTTTTAAGAGAAGTGTGGGGGAAGATCCGGTATGTTTGAACAACCGGCTGCGTGTATGTTTCTGAGGTAAGGTGTTTGAGTTGTGTGTTGAATTCGAGCCACTTAGCCTATATTTATCATACCTATCCAAAGAGCCTATGTTACAACCTTGAAAGACCTTTTGATGCACTAGTTTCGATTTTGATTGATTTAGAGTAGAAGTTAGACTATGAGCAAGCATATGATTGAACTTGTTATCGACCAATTTGAGTGCACCTATCGTTATTTGTATAAGAATTTGAGTGAGGCACACATATATATTCCCATACTTGAGAGAACGCCAAGTCGAAGTATAGAGATCAAGCATGTAGTTGTGTAATGTTCGTATGTGTCATTTGAATGCTCGTTGTTGAAGTTGAACATGTTGAAACTATCTTGGTAATGACTGGTGTCCATGCTTGGTTTGGGTTTTGTGTCTTTTCTTTTCTTTTCATTTTGTTCGGGACGAACAAAGGTTTAAGTGTGAGGGAGTTGTTTGTCCCATTTTTGTTGCGTTTTTTGTGTTTGTTTTATCTTTTTTTTTTCCCTCGTTCTAGGTTGTTTCTCTAGTTTTTAGTCTGCTTCATGTTTTGTTATGTGTTTTCCTTCATTTTGAGTCTTTAGGTGTTTTTCGTTTGTTTTTCCAGTTCTCTTTTATGTTTTGTCATTTTTGGTGTGTAGGTCGGGAGCTTCGGGCGGATTTTTTTCTTCAGGAAAAATTTGTTTTGAGAGTATAGTTTAATAGAGGGGTTCAATGGCGACGCGTAGGAAAAACGACACTCAATTCCGAGTTCGAACGAGCTCACAAGAGGCCAAAACGTAAAGTGGCGCAGTGCAGTCCAAAGTCGCGATTCGCAAGAGCAAAGTCGTGACTCGCGACATGAGAGGTCGCGACTCGCGAAACTGTCGCGAGTCGCGAGTTTCCTCACGTTTATATGCCATCGGTCTCTGTTTTTCTCGCGACTCGCCAGTCGCGACTGTTCCGCCCCTGTTTTTTATTTTGCTCGTTTTTACTCGTTTTAGCTCCGTTTTTCGCGTACTATATATCAAAACGATCCTTAGACTCGTGTGAACAACCCTCAATATTGTTTTTTCACTTTCTCCTACTCTAAAAACTCAGATTTTATCGTTGTTTTGATGGCTTTTCTTCTTTAATTATTCCAGATTAAGTTGTTCATTGAATTCGACTCTTGATTCTATGTTAATCGTAAGTTTTCCTTTTTCAAATAATCCTTGAATATGAATGCTTGGGTTCTTGAGATGGATTGTGTTGAATTTCATAATAGTAACTAATTTATTCGCTAGGGATAGGGGATGATGATGATGTTTAGATTTTGATTGTGATTATCATTCTTGTTGATTGTTCAATTTATGGGAGTTGTGCTTAACTAGGGTTTATAATTC